CTCAGCTGTAGAGACAGAAACAACACATGATCAAATACTTAGTGTCTGAAAGAGAGAGGGTTTTTTTTTTAGTAAAAACAAATAAAGAAGAAGCCATGCTAAAGTTGTTACTCACTCTTCACATTGAGGTTTGTCCCGTTTCCAAACAGTATTCGTCCACATGAGGCAACAGCACAGTAGTAGGTCCCAGCGTTGGACACAGTGAGGTTCTTCAATGGCAGACTGACCACACATGTATTACTTTGTTCCCCAGGCTTCCTCTCACATTGATGGTTGCTCCCTCCATGAGTGTAAATTAGTCCTGGATAATGTTCCTCAGAGTTTCTGAACCAGTAAACTCTGTGTTCTCCACCACAGCTCCCAGTTTGTAATGTACAGTTCAGAGTCACAGAGTCTCCTGGTGGGATAATTTCAGTTTCTGACTGTTGGACCAAAGGCTGGATGTTTAATACTGATTCTTGGACGTGAATGACGGTGCCCCCATCAAACTCAATCTTGAATGAATGCCCAGTAACACAATAATAAGTCGCTGAGTCAGAGGGCTGCAGATTTGTAATCCTCAGGTTATTTAGATTTCCTTTAGTTTCTAGGGTGAAGCGGGGATTATCTTTGAACTCTCTTTGAAAAGTTCCTTTGGGGTCGTACTTGAAGACAGTAGAAATGAGTTGTGGTTTTTGACGCAAAGTTACTTTGTACCAGTAAGCCCTGGCAGCTGTATCAGGGTCACGAAAGCATTGCAGAGTTACACTTTCTCCAGCTTTTACTGAAACAAACCGACTGTCTTGTTGAACAGATGAGACCTGGTGAACCGTTTGAGCTGAGATAAGGAGAGACGGATTAATATATTTTAAATCAAACACGTAAAACATATTAAAATACTCTGAAAGACTCACATTATAATGGAAGAAAAAACTTACCAATTTTGAATAGCAAAAATGTAACACTGATGGCAAACTGTACAGGACTCATGTTGATCAACGAGTCGACCTGAATGAGGAAAACTCCACGCCTTTGGTCCTTTTTGATAGACAACACTAAATCTGACACATTATGTCATGTTCGCTACCACCTATAGGCCAGTGTGAAAAAAGATAGATGAGGAGGAGACTGATGGATCATTTCTGCCTATATATTTAAAGATTATACAAAAGTTGTTTTGATGTTCCTTTAAACATATAAATTCACTCTAAATTGTGACATCACTGCATCTTTTCATGGATTTTTTTGAAATTGATTTTTTCTGTAATTTATCATTACAGATCACTCTTTTCTTTTCTTTCCCAAAACAACTTTTTTGTTTCAGTAATAGAAGATAACTTCTGCTTTCTGGTCTTCAGTCTTATGTTGGCTTTCAAGTGTTGTTTACATGTGTTGCTACATTGAACCTCTGAAGCTGAGGTTCACTAGTGCTTTCCTACACAGCTGGGCAGGATTTCCTCCTTCCCTATGAGGTTAAGTGGAGCTCAATATACTCACTTATGTCACTTAAATCTGAAGTCAAGATGATCAAAAACACAAATGATTTTATTGGCACAAAAAGTCTTGCTGAGTAAATCAGAGCTTGACTGAAGAGTCCCGGCACCGTGAAGAAACTATTGGGGAAATGCCTCTAGTGCAGTGTTCTTTAAACACTGAGAACAAAGCTTCAGATATTCACAATCAGTGGTACAGACTTGTGCTCACATCAGTAGCTACGTATCATCATCTGACTCTTGATAAATGATCAGTTCATAGTCTCAACACTGGAGAACATTTATTTTTGTAACCTGACATTTGGTATTGTAATCCTTATTGTCTAATTTGAGACAATGAGGATTGTCTCAAATATGTACAAAATATGTACAAAATATGTGCTTCCTGATGCATGAATGTTTTATTCATCGCAAGTTTCACTGTTGGTGTGAATAGATGGTTCTGGATCTGCTTCACCATCAGTCATCTGTGTTGTTCTGGTTGCATCGCTCTATAGACTAAAAGCCTTTACTTCTGTGAGACAGAGGCTTTTAGTATGTACTTATAGACTAAATACAGATTTAGTCTGTATTGCAGACTAAATCAGTGATACAGGTTTAGTCTAGAAAGTTGTGATCATATCAGTAGAGATGTAAAACTCAGAGACTCACAGGTAGTTTTTGATCTTTATTTGGGATTTCTTGATGTTAACAAAGACACGAGTTCAAAGGTTTGTACAAGCGGTGACAGAGGAGATGGAGTTACTTTGGTCATCTCTAACAGATAAATGAAAAGGAACATTTATGTTTCGGTCAAAAGCTTCACAAAGAGTTTCTACCGGAGACGTTAGCCGTTAGTCTAACAACACGAAGAAGCAACTTCAGTTCTCAGGCCCAACACTGGAGTACACAACTTCACTGGTGGCCTCCCTCTCCCCTCTCGATCTGCTGATTTTACTACTTGTTAAGGCAGCATGATGGAGATTATGTGCATCGTTGGAACCCTGGATAAAACAAGCAATAGAGTTAAGTCTTGAACAACGTAACTTTTATGCCAAATACAACACTGTATTGCCTTGTGGTATTGTTGTATATGTGACTGCATAAATATGGCATAATTTATATTTTCAACCTGCTTTATGTTGGACCAACACATGCAGGCCTAAATATACCGATCTGATTCTTTTAGGATATTTTGCAAATCATCAGCACATTCATCTTTCATCAAACCAACTTTTTAATTTCAACAAGATATAAGTTTTTAATGAAAATACTCTCGGTTTTTATATCTGAGTTGCACTGTCTTCTAATAAACAAGACAGCACCTCCAACAAAGGTGCTGAAGACCCCACCTTTGTTGGAGTCTTCAGCATAACCATATCTCATCTGAAACAGTCTACTGCACCATAAGGCCTTGATGAGACGCTACTCCGTCAGACTGTATTAAGTTCAAACTTTTCTTTGAATGACCTGATGTTGAATTTATTTTTTTGTGCTCTTCCTGCAGCCTTCTCATATTATGAACACACTGTAAAACATGTCAGTGAGAAACGATAAGAAAAAAGAAGTCATGCTCACATCTGCATTTGTAGTCAGAATTGCCACCACGATGATGTTGAATGCTAAAGCTCCACTCAAGACGTAGAGCAGGACGGGAGAGTCAGACTTTTCTGAAGAGAGACAGTGATTACAAGGTGTTACAAACATCAGAGGACATTTTCACCACTTCTTGTGAAATGTAAGACAGTCCTTGCAAAAAGATTTGTTACTCTCATAGTCCAGATTCATCCCCTTTCCAAACAGAATGTGTCCACATGAGGCAACAGCACAGTGGTAGGTCCCGGCACTGGAGGCGTTCAGACTCTCTATGGTGAGGCTGTACACACAGCTGTGTGCCTGTGTGGTTGGCTTCTTACACTGGTCATCACTGGCTCCATTGGTGTAAATGATCTCTGGAAGGTGTTCTTCAGAGTTCCTGAACCAGAAAACTCTGTGTTCCCCATCACAGGTCCCACTTTGTACTGTACACTTCAGAGTCACAGAACCTCCAGGCTGGATGATCTCAGATCTGGACTGATCGACCAAGGTCCAAATGTTCAGATTTGATTCTTTTACATGGACT